GCGTGTTTCCTGTAGGATTGTTTATATTTCCATTCACTGTATGAAGAAGAGCTGACTGATTTGTATTTGACCAAAAACCTTCAACTCTTCTGGACTCTTCCCTCCTACTTACTATGCACAGCAGCACTGCTCTCCTATTCAGACTGTGGAGTGTCTAAGCCTGGTGCTGTGCTGTGGCCGGCAGCACGAGATGTGTGTTGGTGTGTGTTTTGTGGCTTGGTTGGCCTGAGCCTCTTCAGCTTCTTCTTTTTTTTCCCCCCAGAGGTGAAAAACCTGAAGTCGCTTCTGCTTAGAACGATGGAACTGCCAGTGCAGTTCTGTTTGCAGTACAAATGTCTCTGCAGCTGAATATATACAGGAAACAATATTTGAAACGTATGGTAAATAAAAAAAAAAGAGTTAATATTTTTCCATCAACAGTTATTGTCGTAAACACATTTTTTATTCAGTCATTTTTTAAAATTATTTAAAGTCTGTTTCAGATTCAGAGAATGAATAGTTACCATTGTTTGTATAACTAGGTTATTATATGTATACATTTCCTGAAAGTACAAAGTAGTGCAAGAGAAGTGAGAAGTACAATCAAATTTTAAAGAGAAATGCATACTGTATTTCAACCACATCTGTTTTTATCCAGTGCCCTGCTGTGATGGTTAATCTTTTCGTTGATGCCAAAATTATGTTTATAATTAGATAAAAAAAATGTATCTTGATAGGAAAAAAGCTTGAATCAGTTTCTTGTAAATGTTGATGTAATAATGTAGGGGAATGTGTGTGATTGCACTGTTTCAACAGTCACTCCAGTTATTTTTTATTGACAGCTGCTTTATAGGCAACCACTTCCTCTAGGTTAAAGGGTGGACCTCACAGAGCTATAATAACACACACACACACACACACACACATACTCTGCTGCACCAGGGTGTGTGTTCCTCCTGCTGTGAATGTTTTCATTTCTCTGGACCTTTTCTAAAGTTAGACATTTTCTAGTAAAAGATCACGCTCCATCCTGGAGTATTTACCCCAAAGGCCCCCGAAAATTATTTTATAGGTTTAAAAAGTTTCCACTGGTGCTTTCCATTGTACATTACCGTACTGTTTTGGGTTTTCCAGGATGTTCTTTGGCCTTTCCCAGTATTACATTATTGTGTCTTGAGAACAGGCTGCAAATTAGGTTAGCATTTGTGCTAGCATCCCTCCAAACGGAACCTATTAAGTCATTAAACACTGTGTGCTATACGCTCACACTGGTTATTTCCTTCTCCATCAGTTAAACCTCAGCATTAACATCTTTAACCTTCGTTTCATACAACAAAATTTACCAAAATCTTCTTTTCTCTAAATATTCAACACACAATATTAAGGGTGTGTGTGCTTTTGTTGGATTAAAACTGTATTTATTGAAGTGACATGACTTTTTGTTCAGCGTGCAGTAGGATATTTCTTTGGTTTATGTTGTACCTTATTGCCCAATACCTTGGACAGACATAACAGGTTCTTCGACTACAGTGGTTTGAACAGCCTAATTAGAAACAATGCTCTTTGTTGACAGAAATTTAGCTTTGACAACTTTGATAAACAACCTGCTGACAGTAGAACTTCCTTTAGTAACTGACAAATAACTGACTAATGAGGCTTAGACCATTAGACAACTGACAAATAACTGACTAATGAGGCTGTCCGTTTTTTAAATTAGAGCATGGTTGTACAACCATGGAAAGAGTTTTCATCCGTTTGTGTCAGTAGACCATACATTTAATGCATTTAAATAAGACAGACTGTATGAAGAGAACAAGGGTTACATTACATTATTGATTTCAAAAATCAATATTTCCTTGTGACTTCATTAAAATGTAGAAAATAAATTAGTACGAATGTAGCACAGGAACTGACAAATGTACTTGACCTACAGCACAGCTCGTCTCAGCTCAGCTCAACAGTTGTTGCAGCTCTCTAACAGACACAGTCGTTGTAAAAAGGCTGCAGTAAAAAAAAAAACATTGATTCAACGAGTAAAACTGAAATATTGGCAGAAATGGAGCCGGTCTGTCAGAACGAGAGGCCAAGAAATAAACGACATCAACGACTGTAACTTTAATTCATCCATTGGGAAAGCTCTGTCTTGGTTTAGGGCTGTTTTTGAGATGGCATCATTGTTGCCCTGTTGAAATTATTTGAACCATAAATCCCGTGAGGCGAAGTCTGAGAAGGACCTTCCCAGCAACGGCTTGATTTGTGCACAATATTGATCCAAAGATCATCACTGATACACAGTAATTATAGCATTCATTGGAAGCAAAACAACTGACGAGACTTCAGTAAGAGTGTGACCTGTGTCCACTGTTGTTCAAATCATTAGCTGGACAGGAAGTAGGTGAAGAGAAGTGACTGACGTTTGAAGATTACCTGCTAAATATAACATCCTGTATGACAGATATTTGGAATAACACTAATATTGATCGCTTGTGTATTAATATTGTCGAAGGCGCTGTTTCCTGTAATCTGTTATAAGTTCAAAAACAACAAGGCCAAACATGTCTGCGGGATCGATGGCAGATATTTCTGGTGAGTCTCGTTCCGTTGGATCAATTACCTATTTTGGTTGAGGCTAGGCTAATGCAAATCTTTAAAGTAACATTCAATTTCTTGTTGTCATTAGTTTGTGACTATGATGATGAATATGACGTTTGTTTTTAATTCATTAGTCAGTGGTGTTGAATTTAACAAACAGGTCTTAGACAGGAGCCTGACACCTCGTTCTCTGTGTGTGTGTGTGTTTTCATGTGTGTTGGTAAATGCACCGTAGCATCAGGTTACATCTCTGAGCCTCAGTGTGCGTCTGTATGTGGCATGAGGCGGAGAGAAGACGATAGGTCACTCATAAGTTGTGATGAGTTTGTGGCTGCACTGGCAAAGTGAAGAATGAGAGTGAAGGAATTATCAGAGGAGAAATGGACGGGGACAGCTGGGCTTTCATCTTGGGTAAGATGGGGATGATATCAAATGATTTAGCTCACAAATGTAATTTATTGAAACACTGAGTGGCCTTTATTAGAGGCTTTGTAATTAATTTAAATATAGTAATATTTAACCCCTAAGCACATGTATTAATTCTGAATTCATTTAGTTGATAAATTGATAAATCAATAAATAGAAACACATGCATGAACATGAACAACAAAAATGCCTGACTGATATAAAAATTCTAATAATAACAAACTTCATTACTTTTTCAAGTAATAATTGCAGGGGTAACATGAGCTAACTGGTCTGGACTGGTCATGCCAGAAACCCAGCTGATTGTGGGTTTGTGTGCTTTGACCTTGGTTACCACAAAATTCTGTTTTTCTTCTCTGGCTGCTCCTCAATGCACAGCATTCTGTTCCTAAAGGGTCGCACACTCTGCAGCACGGATTGAAGGTTCTATTAGCATTGTTATTCTTAGCCTTGTGATTCACACTCAGTCCCTCCTGCCCCAGTGTTATCAAAGCTCTTTGCGTTGTATTCTTGGTGTATTGATTTTTGCAGTACTAATGAATTTTCTATTCCTAAAAAGGGGCCTTGAGGAATTAGAGGCCAGCCATCCGTCCATGACCACATTTTAGTTCTAGGAGACAGTGTTTACCTTTGGCCATGACACGTACCATCATTCAATAATACATAAAACGTTGCCTGTCACCCACCCACCCACACACACCCCGTTCTAATTTCCAAAAAGTAATTTCACCCAGTTCTTCTTTTCTTCTCTTTTTTTTTTCCATTTCAGGATTGAAAAAACGTACCAGGAAGGCCTTCGGGATACGGAAGAAAGAGAAGGACAATGACTCCACGTAAGTCCTCTTTCAGCCTATTGATGTGTATCTTGCAGTAACAACATAGTATTTATATCTTTATTATGAAGTAAACGATTCCCTCTCAATCTTCCAAACAAAGGTTTAGCTGTTTGGGCGAAATGAAATAAAGTAGTGTCAGCTTTTACTACAGATGTTATCTCTAATACGTTGAATGGTGTAGAAGTCATCAACCCTGCTGTCATTAGTCCTGAGCTGCAGTGGAATTAATCCTAGTCCACATGCATTTTCATTCAGTATCAGGTATCTGCTGCGTACAGTGTTGTCAACCACTCACCTGTGGACTATATTTATCAGTTGTTTCAATTTTATTTTTGCTCTGTCTAAAGTTTCCAGTAGCTTTAATATGTTTTCATTTTCAAATCTTTAATCTTTTTGTACTTTCTTTGTACGTTAATTAAATACAAACCTTTGTATTTACTGTATTTACTAAAACCATCAGCTGCAGGGAGTACCATTTTATGGTCCTGTATGGTGTAGTTAAGATCTTGTGTCGCCACAATGTTTGCCTGCTGCCCTAAAAATGCAATTAGTGACGGTGGAAAGGAAGAAGCACAGCGGCGACATTGTTTAACGTGGTTTGAGAAAAACTGAACCACAAATGTTTGTTCTGAAGGATCTATCCACTTAGCTGAGATTGATCTTCACAAGGACATTCTCACTTAATTGTCTTGTCAGTACTTTAGTCTTAATCAGTGGATTAACACAACGACAAAACCGTAGAAGATGAACGGAAACTCTTTTCTCTTTTCTTTCATGTTTCCACAGGGGCTCTCCTGAGAGAGAAGGAGGCGTAAGTTTACACAATTTTTTTAAAATTTTCATTCATCCAGTTTTATATATTTTTAAATGAGTCTTACAGCGTTACTGGAGAATTTAACCCTATGTAATGTATGTCTTTTTTTTTTCTTTTTTTTTAAACTCTCATACCTACCAGGATGTACAAGAGGTTGAATCGGTATTGAGCCTGGATCTAGTCCATGGATGCAGTAGTAACAGAGTTGTGTAGCGTGTAGAGCTTAGATGTGTTAGAGACACCACAAAACATTCTGCATCTAATGAATCACTGGCCAGAGCTGCTGTTTGCACTGTTTTCATTAGCAGGCTTTCAGTGGACCTAAGGATAGAAGCGCAGTAATAATAAAAAAAAAAAAAGGCAACTAATAATCCATCATTAATTACATTAGTATGTTTACTGTCTCTGGCCAACTTTGTCACTTTTTAACAAACTGTTGAATAGAAACATCCACTGTTTTAGAATTAATAAACATATCTGAAAAAATAACATCTACTGATTTCAGTGGATGAGTACACGTCCTGTAGGAACGCCCCCTGCTTGTCGTGCTGAGTAGACTGGACCTCCATGTCATGCGTTTTTTTCTAATTTCACTTCTGTGTCTCCTCTTAGTCTCAGAGGAAAACCAACGGGGCCCCGAATGGCTTCTACGAAGACATCGACTGGGAGAGATATGTGAGTAAAAATGACGTAGTTACATCAGTGTGAGCTGGTGGTTCAGCCACTTCTATAAAACTGGAGTTTCAGTGTTTTCATCTGCAGTGACTTAGATTAAACCCTCCATCTGTATTTCTTCAAAATCCATGCTGCAAATCCAGTCAGGGAGAGCAGAGTCAACTGTGGTATACGTGGTATTCAACTGTTATCATTTGCTGTAATGTATTCTCCACACAGAGCTTTACATTAGCATGATGACTTCTTTCTATTATGGGTCTAATCTGGCCCTAGTAGAGGAACATTTGCTGTGGTTACTTTGAACTGCATCTCATTAAACTTGGGTCTTTCCTTTACATCTTGTTTGTTTCCTCCCAAAACACATCAGGATGTGTTTTGTCACGTACAGCATGACTCTGTTGTGACTGAAAGTGACTGATTCCCTCTTGTTGCAGAACTCTCCTGAGGTGGACGACGAGGGTTACAGCATCAGACCTGATGACGAGTGTGAAGAAGATATCCTGAAAGTGGTAAAATGGTGGTCCTCGGCCTGGACTAGTGTCATTGTACACATTTTGTCATTCAACACTATTAGTAGTTATTAATATTTATAGAGGATATTCTCTATGGTAATAATGAATTAAAGAATAAAGTCAGTTGGTGCACAAATTAGTTTATTTATTAGGGTTAGTTTTCTGGCAAATTTGAAATTTGGTTTTGAAAGCTCTAAGCTTGAATCCTTAGCTAACTTCCACGGCAGTTTAAAAATGACAACATTGCTTTCCTTGACTCTGTGTTTCCACCTGCCGTCAAAAAGACCAGCTTCTTCTCCTCTGATGAGTCCGAAGAAGAAGACGACCAAAGAAAAAAGTTCAAAATCAAGATCAAGCCACTACCGGCTGATCAGGTTGTGATGGTGCCCTCTGTTGATGAGCTCAAAGCCTCCATAGGCAACATCGCTCTTTCCCCGTCTCCTCTGGTGAGTAGAAATGACATCACTGCTCTTCCAAGACTGCCTTTAGATGGTTGATGGGTTTTTTTTACGTAATAAGTTTGAAGTATTTTTTCTGTCCTTCCGAAGGTTTGAGGTTCAATTTCCCAGGGTTTGCTTCCAAGACTGCCTTTAGATGGTTGATTTCCCAGGGTTTTGGGTTTTGACAGGAAGGCCGTAGGTCTACAAACTGCTCTGGTATCCACTGATAAAGTTATCCTGCTTTCCTGGAATGTTTTAGGAGTTCTAGGAAAGTTTACTCCCTTTTACAACTTTTCTACAAGACAGACCTGTCTTGTTTTAATTACACAGTATCTTATGGTTTGGGTCTCACAGTAAAATCCCACTCCAGGTCCCTGTAATCAGTGGTGTCAGCATATTATATGGTTCAATGCAGTTCTTTTGGTTTGCATTGCTGCCAGTGATCTCAATGCTCTCCCATTCAGACAGCCTTCATTGAAGTCAAGGCAGATGTCCCAGGATGAGATGTGTTCTCGAGGGCTGTGTTCCAAAGCTCAGCCGATGAGTCTGAATTCAAAACACATTTTTCTGATGGACGGTTTGTAATGAGCTGAAAGGCAGATTCACGTTCTTAACCGTAATCCCCGTGTCCTCCACCGTGTGTCTGCACTGAATTATTCAGGTAGGAAAGTGGGCAGAATGAACCTGTGTCCGTCTGTTGCACAGTAGGGTTGCTCGTGGTAATTTGAGCCTCAGTCCTTAATAATTCAGTCCAGACACGGTGAGTTCACTACAGAGATCAGGTGCCAGGTTCTTCTCATGTCAGTAATGGCACAGTGTGGCCCCTTTAGTTCTGAATGATGTTGTGCTCAGAAAAAGTGGCTGCAGAACATACAGAAAATATATGTACTCTCACATTTACTTGAGTACACTCAGCCTTTGGTGGATGCTCTTTTTATACCTGATGCTGACACTAGGTAACCTGCTGATTAAGGAGTCTTACGTCCCTTCTTTCCATAACTTTTTGCAATGTTTAAGCAGTAATAGTATAACCTCTTGACTCGTCTAATTAGTCCTTCTATGTCTTCTTCTCTTGTTTTTTCCCTCCTCACCCCTCCTGCTGACTGTAATCACGACGTTGACCTCTGTAGAGGAGTCCGGTAAGCCCTGGCTCTGCATGTTTTTGTTAACTGCTCTATTCTGTTTGTTGGAATCGGATTAAAATATCTGCTCTCTGTTACTTAAACCAATATAGGAAGGGATATAATCCCAGTGTGCAGTAACCAAAGCTTTAATTGTTGCCCTGGTTCTTGTTGTGTGAGTTCTGTGCTGGTGTGATTGTATTACATTGTGCTGTGTGAATATAAGGTATAGAGATGCATGTTCTGTGTGACTGCACAGCGTTCTAATAGCACAGAAAGCTTATTTGTTTGCTGAGTTACCTGGTTTATATACTTTTTTCCACTGGCTGGGTTTTTTTTTTAATCTTACTTTAATTGGTTTGGGAGTTTAGAGCTTTGACAGTTTTCCTCTGTCAGTGAACACGACGGCAGGTAGTTCAGCACACCGAGGTCGTGGTGGAGGAAATGAAAAGGTCAGGGAAGTAATGATTAAAACTCCACCTTGTTCCAAGTTGTCTCACTTGTGATTTGTGGAAGGCGAGTATTTTAACTTTTGTCAATGATTTCCATGTCATAGTGTGACATTCTCATTTAAACTATGGCTTCCTGAGAAGAGCTTCAGTTTATATTATAATAGTCAATGTGTTCCTGGTGTCTGGTGTTTCTCAATCTGTAGTTCTAGTTTTTTTTTTTTCCTCCAGAACAAGAACAAGTCGGAAGTGTTTGATGATAAAAATGACAGTTTTGTACTGAGACGTTGTTGGGGGGCGGGGGGTGATGGGTAAAATGAGGGTGTATGATAGTAAGCTGAAATGTCTTTAAGACGCCCCCTCCCCCCAGTACGATGTGTGCTTTACTGATTTGTCACTCTCTGACCAGGTGTCTCTTCTCTCTTCCTTTTTGCTGGTCATAGAGACGTAGCCCGGTAAGTGTCTTCCTCCTCCTCCTCCTCCTCTTCCTCTTCCATCTTCACGGGGTCAGACAACATTATCACCTCAGAATGACCTCTTGTACTATTTTCACTGTGACCTTCTCTTGTGCTCAATTGAACGTGGCTGAAAATACAGAACGTTCAGTGGAGAAACAGTGGCTCAGTGGGAAAATATACTTCGGTTTCTAGGACTTGAACTTACAGGTTCATGCTTTTAGGCCTGTGTTTCACTCACCATGGGTTCATACGTGTAACATAGATGTAATCCTCTGATGAGGAGGAGTGACTGAAGGGAGGTCCAGTCACTCCTTGTCATTTTTCTGATATTTTCCTCTTCTCCCTTCTCTTCTAGGGATGCACTGATTTCATGTGGACATAACATTTCTGCTCTATTATCAGCTAATTTATGTTACAAAAATATTTATTTCCTGTTTATTATAAATCCTGTTGCTCAAAGTTGCTGCCAGTGCACATCATGTATAATAACAGTATGTGAATTTTATGTTACTACTTTTTGATTTAAACTCTTAGGAAAGTATGTCTTGGTATTGGTATTATGTTGGATCAATATTGAGTATCAACTGATTCTCAAGGCCTGAGAAAGTCGAATTCGGTGCATCCCTTTCTTTCCTCTCTCTCTCTCTCCCTCCGTCTGTTTGACCTTATCTGACCTCTGGGCTTTTCTCAAACTCATGGTGAATTATTCTAAATGTCCACAGACTTCACTCAGGGGTGTTTGGGATCACAGGGTCATGGTTAGAGTTGTTAAAACATAATTGTCTCTTCTTCTCCACCTTACATGTTGTTTCTGCCCTCTGCCATCACTCCTCCACAGTCTTTAAGACTGACTCCACAAACATGTTGTGAGATTTTTTCTCTTGACGTACACAGAACACTGCCCCCGGTTCATTTAAATTCTGACAGCTGTAGGCCGTTGCCAGGAGACATTTCATCTGTTTTATGGCCTGTTGACAACAAAGACACACACTGATGGATCCGTGTGATTTGTTTTGCATTTCAAAACAACACTCATATTGGAGAACACCCTCAACTGTACACTGTTCAAAACCAGGTCCTACAGTGGTCGCCTGGTGCCACAGCCATACAGACAATAGAACAATGATGGACTTTTACAGGGATTCAATTTAGCTGCACAGTTTAACCCTTGGTATTGCTGTTCCTGTTTCCTTACTGTGCAGTGTTCTATCCATCATTTGATACAGAATAAGTCCAATTAATGAAAGAGAGCAGGAATAGGAGACGCTCGTCTATGGCACTATGACATCACACACCATTTGTCTGTCATTATTAAAAACATCCTCATGTCCGTGTTTTGACCTGTCCTCCTCATTTCTTTCTCATCACAGGGTTTGAAAAGGAACACATCCAGTAAGTATCAGTCCTGAACGTCGGACATTTTCTTTCGTTTGTTCTGTTAACCACAGTCAATGATACAAGTTGATGATGTATGAATGATACGAGTTGATTTAACTTGTAGCTACAGGTGAGGATATCGTCAGACCTAGACGTGTCGTCCCCACTGTTCCTACGGCTGTGGCCCCCCCGCCAGCTCCGGCACCACCACCCCCGAGGTATGTACTGTAATGGTACTGTGATGGGAAATGTTTTTTGGGGGTTTTTCCTACTGAAAATAGGGAATTTCTCAATTCCCTATTCAAGTCAAAATACTAGTACAAGGGGGTTCCCTCCATGTCACGCTATAGGAGACATTTGAGACGTGCGTCTTGTTTTAAAAAAACTGAAAGCCTTTTAAATTTAGATACAAAATTACTGTAATAATGCCTTTGAAGTCCATAAATAATTCGACTTTGTTTGGTGTTTTTTTTTTCAAATTTATTTCAATGTGATTTACCCTAGGTTACACTTTCTGGGTTAAAACAAATACAACTCTAAGTGTTGTTCGTGATTCTGCGTCATGTCATTGCCCACTGTGCAGCATGAGAACACCTTTTACAAGTTCCTCTAATTGTTCTTTCTCTGCTGCAACAGGGAACAAACACCAGTCCCCGAAGACACCACCGACTTGTTTGGACCTCCTTTAGAAACCACTTTTGGAACTCAACAGAAAACTGAAGGTAGTCTTCCTCTTTTGTCTCTGTTGATGTTCTGACTTAGTGTGTCCAGGTGTATACTGTGGCCCTGGGAAAACTTGTTGATGTTCTGACTTAGTGTGTCCAGATGTATACTGTAGAATGGCCCCGGGAAAACAGTTGTTCTATTAACCACATGTTTCTGTCGTCATACACTAGCGACACAGCAAAGTGCTGTCTGAACACACACCTATTGTCTCTCTCAGACTGCCAGTTACACCCTGCCAGGCTGCCGCTGCAGACTCTCTCCCCCCTCCCTCTCACCTACTTTCCTAACACCATTGTTCTTCCCTCAGGCTCGTCGCAGTTGTATATTCACTCCATCGGTATTTGCACAGGTCAAAGTTGAAATTAGTCGTCCGAGGTCGTGTACTTGTGCATGCTGCAGCTTGTTCATGCGCAGACTTTGCTGCCACACACTCCTTGTTGTATTTTGTATAGGAGCTAGTGATGCAGCAGCGGGAGGCCTCGAAACTGTTACACAGCTGCCGCGTTAAACATCACTGTAACACAGATTTCATCACAGTAATAGATTCAGATTTATACAGATCTCACACCTAGCAATTATTGACTTTTATGGGAAATGTTCATCACAGATTAATAATAAAATGTCCTCTTTAATATTCACTCATACAGTCTTGAACATTGAGAAGAAGTCTAGGTTTAACACACACAGAGAAAGGGTGAGAGAGATGAAGAGTGATGGTGTGAGAGAGAGAGAGTGAGTGAGAGCAAACGAAAGACACACAAAAACAAACACAACCCCACACACTCGCCCCAGGGCCGTAACATTCCCCCTGATGTCCACCCACCTTCTCAGGTCTTTTGGTAGGACCTGGTTCTAAAGCCTGTTCTCTCCCCCTCCTAAACTCAGAGGTTCTGTCAGACTCCGATGTGTGGGGTGCTACTCTGTCGGAGCCAGAATACTTTTTGACAATCTCCTTCCCGACAGGAAGTAAGTTATTATTCCACCCTGGCATGGCTGTGCCCAACTTCCCCTCGCTCCCTGGAATGACTGCACTCACCCATCAGTTCACCTCATGAACATTACTGCCGCTGCCAACCTGCATCCGTTCCCGATCTGATCACATGATCTGGCGTCGGATGGTTTGTCATCAAATGAGGAGACATTGAATACTATGACTCTCATACTGCATCCACCCCCATCTCTCACTGCCTTCTCCCTGTGTTGGCATGGTGGCTCCTGGATGTAGCAGTGCTGCATGGTGGATGGTTCTTGGCAAAACCCTTCACCCTTCACCTTCACCCCCGCCCCAGTTGTTTTGGTTGTACTGGAACTTTTTGATTTTGATATTTTTTATCCTTTTTGTAATGCTGGATTGTTTCATGTTGATGTTGTTGACATTTACTTTTTACATCCACCTCATGCAGTAATGAACATATCACATGTGCTGAAACTACTACGAAGACAAAACTTGTTTTAACCAAGTAATAATGATTTCACTCATCACCGTTGCAGCTCCACCTCCACTCCCACCTAAGAATGTTCCCGCCTCTTCTCCACCAGCTGTAGATGATGCCGGTAAGAATTTGAATCTTTATACCTGTCTGTTTATATGGGTGCGTCACTTTTTTTATGTCAGCGTCTAAGTTTACTTTGTCATTGTAAAGAATTACTCTAATTAGTTTGAGTTTGCGTTTTGGAAAAAAAAAGAAAAAATATATGGATAAAATCCTCCCAGTGTTTGAAGGACTGTATTTGTAAAAGTAGGACCACGGTTTGAATCACAGCTCCAGGTGGGCTGTTGTTTTAGAAATCAAAACAGTAACATGTGACTCAAATGTGGATCATGTATTTTGTTGCGTGTGTATCTGTATCTGTGTGTCTGTACAATGAACCATGAGCTGCTTCTTCAGTGTCAGTGGACGCAGATGGCAGGAAACCTTCTATAGCAGACCTGGACAACATCTTTGGACCAGAGCAAACTTCGACTTTAGTCAGCGAGGAGACCACAGACACGTGGGTCTGTTTCAGTGAGGAGTCTTCAAACCAGCCGCCTCGACCAGACGAGGCTCCACCTGCACTCCCTTCCTCTCCACCTCCTCCAGATGAGCCAGCACCTCCATTACCAGCCTCTCCACCTCCACTCCCTTCCTCTCCACCTCCCCGTGAGTCTCCTGTCCCTCCTTTACCTACATCGCCTCATCAGGAGGACCTAGCACCCCCTGTCCGTGCCTCACCTCCACTACTACAGGAATCACTTTCCCCTCCACCAACCTCCACACCTCCATCAGAAGAACCTGCAGCACCTCCCCTGCCTTCAGGTCCTCCCACACACGAAGACCAAAACCCTCTGACAAACGTATCTCCTCCACCCCACACATCAACACCAGAGCTGGTATCTCCTCTGGCTTCATCTCCACCCGCTCTCCCCTCACCTCCCAGTGTACCCCAAACAAATGCTCCCAAAGCAGCCACTCCTCCAGCAGTCAGTCCCTCCTCCGAGGAGATTGCACGCACCTTTCTGCCGCCTGTCCTGTCTGAAGATGAGCAGCACAGGAACACAGACTCCACCCAGCCCAAAGATACCAGTCAGGGCAACCGCAGCACGCCTCCTCCACCTCCTCCCCCCACCTACCGGGCTGTGGTGTCATCACCAGGTCCAACATCTGCAGCCGGAGGCACGAGTAGTGGTAAATAGTCTGTCCTTCTTACAGGTGTGAGTGAAAATCAACTCCAGTGTTTATAAAAGCACAGAGAAAAAATAGGATTTACATCAGGAAAATATTAAATATGAAATATTATGACTGTGCTCATGAATCACTGCCCTGTGTTTCTGCTCTCTCTGTCCTACAGGCTCCTCCTCCCCAGTGCGACCTGCTACTCCTTCGTCAGTAAACCCCACTCCTCCGCCTCCTCCACCTCGCCCTCCTTCACGACCCAGACTTCCTCCTGGAAAGCCCAGTGTAGGAGATGCAGTAAGCTGTCACGTTGAAGTCCATTCACCTTCTTGGTTCTTCTCTGACTCCACTTACCTGGAGCATTTTTGTTCTTTTTTTTTTTTCTTTGAAGACTCGTCCTTTCAGTCCACCGGTCCACTCGGCCAGTCCTCCTCCCATCGCTCCACTGGCCAGAGCTGAGAGCACCTCCTCCATCTCCTCCACCAACTCGCTGAGCGCCGCCACCACCCCGACTGTAGGCAAGGAGCTGTGTGTGTCTGTAACAGGTGTGTGTTCTGCCGGCCGTAGCTAAGCTGAACTGAACTGAATCGTTTCATTCACTTCTTCTTCTTTCTTCGTTTTCTTTTTTTTTTTTAGGGATGTGATGGTTTTTTTTGTAACGATTTATTCCCATTTATCAGATATTAAACAAGAAAGTCAATACTTGCAGGGAAATAATCTCTATGATGTGATTATGAAGTATTTATATGATGACATTGATGTTGATAAACCCGGTGATCTTGGGTTTGAAGCTGAAGCAGTTCATAACACAATCACATCTTTGATGGACAGGCTGCGTTGATTTGATTTTTTTTTTTACCAGTCTCCTCCCACTCCCATGGCACGTTCATGATTTTCAATTCAGATTTCCATTGTTTTAAACCTGTTTTTTATTTCCTGCTTTGTTTTCCTCTTTTTGTCTCGTGTATTTCCTTTTTTTGTTTCTTTGGCTTATCAGAAGACGATGCTTATGTAGACAAACTGCCCACCTTTGGGAGACACTCTGATTCATTCACAGGTATTGTAAAGATTCACGTGGCACAGTTGATGGACGTTCAAATCATTAGGCATTGAAGGCTTGTGTCCACTTCAATGACTTCAGTGAGAGACACTGAGAATAGAATTTTTTTTTTTAAGTATTTTAAAACACAGAGATTTTTTACATTTTTTACATTTCTTAACATACTAGCTTTATTCATATACATTATTTGTATTTCAAGTCTTAACAAATCATTTATTTCATCTTGAAGGAAGATTTTTTTTTTCTTTTAAACTGATGTGTTCGGTTGGTTGTTTTGCGTTCATTTCATTTTCCCACTGCTCGTCTCACTCAGTTCCATTAAAACCCGTGACCTTCCGTGCTACATGTAATACTTTTTCTCTCTGTTTGACGACTGTGCAGACGTGGCTTTGTTGCCATGTCTTTGATGCGACATTTTGATTCTTCTCCTGGTGACAGATGTTGTGTTTGTGCATCACAGTCAGTCACAGATTACCTCCAGCTCTGAGTCTACATCAGTGGACTGCATCACACACACACACACACACACACACACACACACATTGCATGTACATAACAGTGAGATCAGAGCTCCTCACATCAGATCAGAGGTGTTTGAAGTCGACCAAACTAAACAGCCGACAGTTGTTTACTGTTCACGTCCTGCTGCTCCATCAGGACGCAGCCTCCAGTTCAACCAATCAGTGCAGACCATGAAGCATCTGTCTCGTCTTTAAAACATCCATGAAAGAAAAAATCTTTAAATCTTTAAAGTCTGTAAATTCTACATTCTAAATCACTTATTCATTAATTTTCATTAAAAAAAACCACCAGGACAAGAGGGAAAACATTTTGTGGGAAAAAAATACTTTTTTAATTTTTACTTTCACCCCAGAATTCAGAAGTCAGATAAAAAAAAAATTATTTAATTTTTAAAGTATAAAATCAGACATTTTTTCACAATTGTGACGAAAGATTTTAAGAAATATTTTTATAGACAAAATAGAGATTTTAACCATCCTTGTGAGCCTCGTACTGCGATCACACTTTTTAACAGAAATACAGTGGTGTAAAATGAAGATTTACTCTGTTTGTCTTATTGAAGAATAGACAGAGTCTATTTTGAATAAATCTCTCAGCCTCCAGTGTAGTTTGTAGATGAGGAGGCAGAATCTTTCTGCTTTTCTACTTCTAAGGTCCCAGCGCTGCCCCCTGGTGTACGTTTTTAGCCATGTTTTGATTTAATCCTTTTTTTTTTTTTAAATGGAGGCCTGAAGGAAAATGTAAGCTCAGTGAGACACTGTGTGTACAGGAGGTGTAGTGCCAGCAGGTGCCAGCACCAAAGCGGTGTGTGCTGCTGCTAGTCCTCTCCTCCAGCAGCACTTCTCAGGCTCTTCATCCTCCTCTTCCTCTCTCTCTCCTGCATCGTTCCCAGCAGCAAAACACCTGGATCTAGAGTCCATGAAGTGGCCTCTCTGTCTGTCTGTCTGTCTGTCTGTCTGTCTGTGTGGGTGTCTGTGTGTGTGTGGGTGTGTGTGTGTGTGTGTCTGTTCCACACATGTCAGCATCAACAAACAAACAAACCACAAACAGTGGTCACATGTCCTGTGCTGCCGTCCACCTCCACCGACCTCCACCTCCACAGTGTGACAAACCTGCCACGTGAGACTCACGCTACCTGTCCTTCTCTCCTCCCTCTCTCTCTCCCCCATCATCCCTCCCTCCTCGTCCCCGGCCTCCTTCTTACCCCCCTCCCCCACACAGAGAATGACCAGCCCTCCCTTGTATGGTTTGACAGAGGGAAGTTTTATTTAACATTTGAAGGTGAGTATTTCCTCTCTCTTCCAGGGGAGCATGCAGTGAAAACACGAGCACACACGTTCTCCTGTGAGGCTTATTTGTGCCGGCTTCACGCCCCCGCCCCTCCACCCCTGTGCCTCCTCCCCTCACTCTTCGCCCCTTCTTTTCTTCTTCTCCCCCACCTTCTCTTCTTCTTTGCAGTTTCCCACCATCACCCCGACCTACACCACGCTAACCCCTGGCTGAGCTCCCTCTTCAGCTGCACCGTGTCGTCATATTCTGCCTTTTACTCTTCTTGACGTTTGTCATTTCTCATCATTGTCATTTTGTCAGCGCTGACCGCCTGTCATCGACATTGTCCTTTGTGTTCATCAGATGTCTTTGTTGTGACTAATTTTCCTTTGGTCGTTTTTCAACAAACTTTGAAAACCTGGTGTGTGACTATTTCAGCTTTGACATCCTGTCTGGACTTAGCATGCACATTGTCACTAAGTCTTCCTCTGGAATCTCTGTCCTTTCTCAGATGTAGACTGATTGCAGTGTTAACAACCTAAAATGAACAGAAGGTATGTTTGTAGCTGTACAGTCAGTGAGCAGAGAGAAATCAAGTGTCTTCCACCATTTAACCATCTTCTTTTTTCATATCATCTGACTAACACTCACGACTTTTACATATCGTGTTTTTTTTCAGAACCTCTTGGTTGTAGAAAAAAAAAAAAGTGTAGAATCTTTAAAGCAGGAGAACTTTTTGTTCCCAGTAATTTTTTTTATGGTAATTCTTAAAAAAAAAAAAAAAAACTAAACCTGTGGTTAGGCTTAGTGTAGTGAAGCACTTGAACCTTTCCAGTGTTTTCATTGACATTTCAGTGACTCTGGCTTGACTTCAGTGACTTTTGTTTGACAAACACTGAAAAAACTGAAAACACTGTTTTTATTTGTCTTTTTCCTGATCAACAAAGGTTCAAGTACATTATGAGAAAATGACAGATTTTTTTTTTTTTTTTTTTTTTGATGAATTTGCATCCAAATTCTATCTGTGTGGTTTGGACTGCGTGCTCCTGACAAATGTAGTAACTTTAACTGAAGACATTGAATATTCTTCACCTGATTCGTGGCCGTTATCTCCAGGCTGCTCCAGGGGCCCCAGTCCTCTCACCATGGGGGCCCAGGACACTCTACCAGTGGCTGCAGCATTCACAGAGACGGTCAACGCCTTCTTCAGAGGAGCCGACCCCAGCAAGTATGTGACCACGACCGGTACTCTGAGTACTTTGTCATATGCACAGTGAATCTAGTAGTAGTATTAAGTACTTAATTAAATCGGAGATGTTCAGTAGAAGTATGTATGTTGTCTATTACTACTCTCTAAATGTTTCATCCTCCTCCTCAGGTGTGTCGTGAAGGTCATAGGTGAGATGGTTTTGTCGTTTCCAGCGGGAATCACACGGCACTTTGCCAATAACCCGTCCCCCGCCGTGCTAACCTTCAGCATAACCAACTACAGTCGACTGGAGCATGTGCTGCCTAACCCCCAGCTGCTGTGCTGGTAATGACACTGCTGTGAATTTACCACTTTTATCACCTGTGAAAAAAAAGTAGTGAAATATTAAATCAATTATTTTTACTTTTTACAGATGCAGCATAGATACACAACTCACGATATGATACACAATTTTTTTTTCACACTTTTCACATTAGTATTTTTAAGCAAAATGAGATCCAAACAAATAATGATCAAATCCCTGATCCTTTATTTATAAAACCCTACGCCAAATACCAGTGTCTATATATAAAACAACAAAAGATTATAAAAATATAATATTATATGATATAATATTGAACTTATTTAGTGTTTAGTAAAATGTGAAAAAGCGGCTCCTTGGGAATGCATGATGTTATGAAGGAGTTAAACGATGACTAACCAGGATGAGTAATAAACAGAGTGACATAATGTCACTGATCAGATTTTTACAACAACAACCTTAATCTTGTTACAAAAACACTAAATGTTGTTTTTAGTGAATCACACTTCAAGTTAATGGAACAAAATCGTTTTTTATTCAATTTTTTTTGTGTCGTTTTTTTTCCCTCTACATTCTCTCACCAGTGACACCACCACACAACCCAAGGCTGATTCCAAGAACTTCTGGGTGAACATGCCAAACCTCATATCCCACTTGAAGAAGGTGGCAGAACAAAAACCCCAGGCGACGTACTACAACGTGGACATGCTGAAGTATCAGGTCTCAGGCCGCACTCACTCTGTCACCGCAGGCATTTGGGATGTCACCCCTGCTAAAGGTTATGACCCCTCTGCTGTGTGCGCAGGTATCGACGCAGGGCCACCAGTCCACGCCTCTGAACCTGGTAGTGGGCTGGAAGTGTGAGCCCACCACCACGGACCTGAGGATAGACTACAAATACTACGGGGACGCCATGTCCACGCCCATGGCCCTCAACAATGTCCAGTTCCTGGTGCCTGTGGATGGAGGCGTGTCCAAACTGCAGGTGGTTCTTCCACCTGCTGCATGGTACGCTACAGACATTTGAAAATAAAACTTTATGACTGTTCAGCAGCAGGAACCTGTGTTGATGTTGACGTTTAATTCACAACAGGAACGCAGAGCAGAAAAGAATCCTCTGGAAGATTCCTGACATCTCACACAAATCTGACAATGGAGGTGAGTGAGATCCTAAATCATCATTAACAACTTTGCATCATTTAAAAAAAAAAAATTTAATTGTTGTAATAGACCATTAGAAATAGGCTTGTAAATAAACTCACATACATTCTGGGACACATACATCAGTTTCATTCTGTACTTTAGTGTTTATGTGGCTCAATAAAAAAAAATCTACTTTTTTTTTTTAAACATTTGATTCTGTGAATTTGCCATCAAACCTCTTTTCTGTAGCCAGAAATTATCTCGCCCAAATATTCAATTTACTGTAATATATTTGAACCTGTAACTCACAGACATGAATCTAAATTCATCTTCTCTTCCCAGGTGTTGGGTGTTTGTTAGCACGCTTCCAGCTAACGGAGGGTCCCAGTAAACCAGCTCCCCTGGTGGTGCAGTTCACCAGTGAGGGCAGCACGCTGTCAGGCTGTGACATCGAGCTGGCTGGGTCAGGATACCGCTTCTCTCTCATTAAGAAGAGATTTGCAGCAGGTGAGTTTGTCCAACCGGCACCTGATGGGGGTCAAGGATTAACTGGCAGCAGATCTGCTGATCATTTTTTAACTAAAAACGTTGCACCCGCCATCGCAAAGTTTGGAAAAAAATTTGGCCAACAGCCCCAAGCAATGTGATGTCATCCTTCATCTGATGTGTCCTGTTCATCATCTTCTCACTGGCTAACAAACTTAGGTACATTACTGCCCTCTACAGGCTGTATTGTGCATTAGCGTTACTGTTGTGCCATAAATGAATGTCAAGAAGAGAAAATTTGGATTCAGATTTTTTAATTAATTTGTCTGTGGTTGATTAGTTAATCAGAAATACTAGGTTAAACTAGTAGTTTTATGTCATAGTAAAAATGAAGGCACAAACATGGCAGCTTCCATGAAACAGACTCATCCATGCTTTGGGTGAGTATATTCCAAAAAAGCAGCGGTGGAATTAATGCAACATCAAAATCTAATATAATCATCACTGCGTCTTCTTCCCACTCTCTGTTGAAGTACACTGACTGTAACCTCCATACATCATCTGTCTTCTAGGAAAGTACTTGGCCGACAACTAGCCTATGTTAATCAAATCAGCACTGTCGGAAAATCAAAAAAAAACAAAACAACAACAGCAGTGGACGGAGACCAGCGCACAGGACCAGGGATGGACAGAGAACAGACCAGCACCAGATCCACAGACTCTCTGTTGACCTTCCGTGAAACCCACATGACAGGTCTGCAGCCTACCCAGCAGTATTGTACGACTTCTAGCCTATAGCATTGTGCAACAGTTTTAAGGTCATGTAATTACTGTATTTGTATTCATTCCATAAAGTCTGTATTGGCTGCGGTTGGTCAGCAGGGTTCTCCCCCTCTCCTAAAGTCTGTCCCTCAGTCTCCGTCCTCCTGCAGTCCGTCTGTGCTGGTGGGTTTCTGTTCTGAGGGGTTTCACTGCAGCTGCCTGACCCAGGACGGAGGAGAGAGGTTTTTTATTCCGATGGTAACTCCACATGGTATTAGCAGTTTCCCCGTCGGACAAGTCTCGACAGTAGAGACACAGATATGTCACAGTTGGCGGCCAGACTTAGTCTTGATATTTTAGGCAATCTTTACCTTGAAGTAAACCGGCCCAGAACATGACGTTTCTCTCAGCCTCAGTTTCTTCATTTATGGTCAATTCTGTGACCTTTTCTGTGGAATAAATACACCCACCGGTACTGTCTGACACAGAACAAAACAAAAAAACAAGGATTAGATTTTACTGCACCACTGCTGGTACAACAGGGTCCCACGTCTGCATCGCTTATTTATGTATAAACTGCACTAATCAGTGAGTCTTTAACTTTTATTTTCTGCTCTCAGCGAGTTAGGCAGCTGCAATGATAAATCAGCGTACTGGTTTAAATCCAAGAAAGCGTTTGTTTGTTTGTTTTCTTCCTGTCTGAACAAAAGAAAATGTACAAAGTGTCATTTTAAATCAATAATATATATCTTAAAGGGCGTTTGGTGTTCTCCTCGTACTGTCAGATAGACCTTTCTGTTGTTCCCAGAGCAGCAGTGTTAGACTCCAGATTAATGACAGCATTCTATTTTTATTTATTGAATAATGATGACTTGTTGTATAAACCATGTGACTCTGTATATGAATAGAATTTGAATGGTATCACACGACTCAGAAACACGTAAAGGTATAAATATTGAAATTCTCTCTCTGTCTCTCTTTTGTTATCTGTGTAGTTGGGTAACCTGTGTACAGTGTAAGGTATAATTTTGAATTTATTTCAGATATAATTTTTTAACTCAAGTGCAACAAAAGATTTGAGCTCTATATGGGTGTGGGGATATTTAAAAGATAACGGTAAATATCATCCGACGCTGTGTTACTATGCTTTGTAAAAGCAGTGTTACTGTAGATGTAGCTGTTCCACCGGCAAGAATAAAATCAACATTTTTGGAAATATTTCTAGATTTTCATCTTATTTCAAAACGATCAGTATAAGTCTAATGTCAGTGTGTTCACAAACATGGCTGTACAGTATTCCACCATTTGGATATGCTGGCAGTCTGCAGGCGGGGAGTTCTAGCCCAGCATAAAGACTGAGAAAATAAATGTAAAATGTCTTTTTTCTACTTTGAAGCTTATTTTCTATATACAACATTCCAAAACCCATGACTCTGACAGTAGCACGCTGCATGCTGGAGTCCTTGGATGGCTGTAAACTTGAGGTTTTAAACGTAAATTATGTACGAATTTTCTTTAAAATAATCGTAAAAACATAGGAAAGTCTCAGTGCAGTATTTTCGGGCCACAGAAGGTACTCGCAGTACTGTTACAAATGTCTTTGCCTGCACATTTTTAGGTGAAAATATTCCTAGAATTAGCTTAGCTTAACCTAACCTAAGTGGGGGCTCCCAACTACAGTAAGATATAAATTAAAAATTAATAATATTTTATGGAGGTAGTATTGTGTAAATTTTGCTACTGTAATGCATTAGCTAGTCATATTGTCATCACAATCAGCCACCAAGATTAGCTGCTAGCTTAAATACAGCTAATCTTTTTGTTCATCTGCCAGTTTGTTTGTTTTCTCCTTACCAGTACTTCAGCACCAGTACTTCATCTGGAAGGGAATATTTTGCCAATATAGAAATATCACAGTAGATGTTAAGAATGCTCCTCAAAGATGTAATAGTAAAGGGGGGGCGTGCAGAGAAGTAGCATTAGCTAACCAGTACCTTCAAGATGGCTCAATATTGTACAAAATAAATCTCTGAATAATGTTTTTTTTTTTTTTGGAGTGTCATTCCTTATATGACTGCTGTTAGACCGGGTGCTCTGGGCTGTTGTTGTACATCGACCAATCATAACGTCGTGCTTCCAGTCTTTATGCTAGGCTAAAGCTACCACTCACTGGCAGATGCTTTACATTTAGCTATCATCATTTTGGCGGGAAAGCAAACGTGTTTCTCTCAATGCTGAATTGTTCTTCAACATTACAGAAAAAATCTTTTAGTTTCATCTCAGCAACAGTGGTGAGGTTTAGTGACCGTGATTTGACGTTGTTAACTTGGACCGTAATCCCCGCCCACCTCCCTTTAAACCGTAACCAACTACAGCCACTGATTATATCACGCTCACATTCCCTCACTGTCCCAACTGCGCTAATCAAACCGATAGCTTTATTTTGCATAATCATAATGGTCTCTGTGAGATGTCATGTGTTGAATGAGGTTGTGGGCCGAGGGTCATTTAACACAAAACTGCTTTGTTTGCTTTTATTTTTATGTCGATCAGTTCTATGTCGTGGTTAAGAGAAGAATATTTTTAAAAGAGATAAAACTGGGAAAAAGTATTATATTGTCTAATGTGAAAGACCACTGTGCTAATGATGTGGAACTTCCTGAATGCTCTGACTCAACATGAAGAGCAAAGTGTGTGTGTGTGTGTGTTAGAGGTTTCGTTATAGATCTATGTACTGTACTGGATGCTTATGTTTTGCTGAAAGCAGCCAATTTGAGTTTACCGTCATCGACTTTATTGAAAACATTTTCTCCCCCAATCAGATGTGGAGACAACTCTGTCTTTAAGGTCACTGCGTACTGTGAGAAAATATATATGAAACATTCAAACACACCAAAATGGCAGTTATTGTGCAGTGTCTTGTATGGAACCAAGTCATGTTACAGAACATTTGTACTGACATTTTGAGCGTGTTAATGTTCTCATTTTTGTTCTTCTCACTGACCTTGAGACACATGATTAGGTGATGAAAATTGCTGTTTAAAAAATGTGATTTTTTTTTTTTTTAATGTCAGTACAATACATGATTAGGTGATGAAAATTGCTGTTAAAAAAATGTGATTATTATTTTGGGTTTTTTTTTTTGTCAGTACAACTGTCACTACAGAGTTATCTACAGGGCCCTCACTGGCTCCCCCTAATGTCTCTGAATTTAACATACCTCTGTATCACAGCTGTAAATCCAGTCTTCTGGCACCGTCATTAACCTGGTTTGTCCAGTCACTTCCAGCTCCTCATCTCTGTGGTGAATTAGTCAACTTTAATATTGCATGCACAGCATGCAGTAAACCCGGGGACATCTGTGGTGGTAGATGGCGCTGCAGTGACCTGTTGTGTGTGCTGACTGTCCATGTTGAGAACAGAGCAGGGAGTGTGTTTGTTACTGTGGTGTGTGCTACGGGCCAGGATGTTTTTTTGGTTCTGTATTGTTGACCTCAGACAAACACATGTGCAGGTTGTTTGTACAGTTCATGACGACGATGAGATGAGCTGAGAAACTTAGTTTGCTTCTTTCCAAAACCAATAAAAGTGGATTAAATGGTTTCACGTGTTTGCAGTGTTCTTGGTGTTTCTCACAAAGTGGTACAACGCAGCCTGCAAGTGGGTCGTGGTTTTTTTTTTTTTTTTTTTTTTGCATGACTAGGTCCCAGGAAGATTACTTTTATTTTCTTAAATAAATCCGAGCTGTTATTTATAATAATATGTTCCATTTTATTCATTGTTCATGTTAAAGATTTAATATTTTAGAAAATGACAGGAGCTACAGTTGGTCTTAGTTACCAGAGAAACTTCAATTATTGACTGTAGAGGGCGACACTTCTTCTGTCTTGTCCTTCACTCTGTGGATCAGGTGAAGTTTTTCTGGTCACTGGTGAAGACCAGTGATGAAGACATGATGTATGAAACTAATTCCTCGTTGCTTTTTTAATGAACATTAAAAACTGAACTCAATTTGAACTATAATTTTTGAATAATTATTCTGTAATGTAATATAAAATATATACAAATACAGTAAATAAAAAAGATTAACTAATATTAAGAAAAAACCTTGACAGTCTATTATTGACAGATTAAATGAGATCATTTGGTATTCTGTCCTTTTGAATCAACTATTTTATTCATCTCTACTTGATCAGAGAGAAAAGAGAATGAATTGTTGTCACATAATAATATTTATATTTTAAATGGTGAAGGTATGGAGGACTGTCTCATAAATAGAGGACCACCATGAATGTATAGGCAGTGTTTATTTCTGGACGTTTTTTGCTGAAGATTTGATGAGAACTTTCACACAGTCGTGGTCACTCATACAAAGCTTTATTCTGTGTGAGAACATTTATTTGTCCAAACTAGCAAAACAACAGGGTACAGCTCCATTTTCCTCAAAAATGATAAAAGCAGTGATGAAAACGTTGCTCACTCACTCACAGACTCCCTACATAGAAGACGGTCAGACGTCCAGATTAATAACATGAAGGCTGTTTGGAAACTTATGGGATTTGTGGGGGGACAGTGTGATTCAGGGTCAGAGAAAACAGTCATTGGTGTCTTGGAGGACGAGAGAAGAAGAAAGGAGGGCTCAGCCTTCAGCAGAGAAAGGTCAGGTCACTCTTCCGACAGCCCACCTGGCAGCACACGGTGGTCAGTATGCTGTTAATGTCTCGTCTGGTCAGCCAAGAGTCTGGGCTGCTGCTGCTGCTGCCGCTGCCGCCGCCCACGCCGCCGGCGGCTGTCGCGT